GGAAATAAGCGGCAATGACAACTTTCTTATTCGGCAGCGTTTCAACTTGGAAAGCATGTGCACGAGACTCCTGCTCCCCCGTGGATTCTCTCCTGAGAGCACAGAGAAGCGGAGGCTGAGGCACCGTCCTCGGGGAGCTGGCAGCCCGAGAGGCGTTCAGAGGACCTGGGAGCCCGCATCACAGGAAGGAGGGTCCTGGGAGGGAGGGAGACTGGGGCCGGGCCTGGGCTTGTGCAGACAGGGCCTGGCCTCCTCCCCACCCTGAGAACGGCCCAGGAAAGAAGGGCAGGGCTGGGCCGGATGTGGAGGAGAGATAGGAGGTGCTGGATGTGGCCGGATTTGCCAGGGCCAGAGGGGGGCACCAGCTCCTCCGCTCTGCCCCACAGCCTTTTACCCTGTAAACTTCCATCCCCCGTGCAAAGGAGGGCAGCATCCTCCGCACATCACAGCGGCTCCGTGAAAATCAAACAGGAGAAACGGGCTGAAAAAAATTGCGCAAACAGTCAAGCACTCCAGAAAGAGGGCTCCAGTGACCGCCTCGCTCCTTCTCAAAGCACTTTTCAAAGGAAGCTAAACAAACTCCCCCAGACTTTCCACTCTCAGGGCTATTTTTATTTTGTGATTTGCCAAGCCTCAAAATGAAACTGGAAAAAAGAAAAAGAAAAAAAACCCTTCCGCGGCTGCTTTTTATATGGTAGTTTATAAGACTGGGGATGAACTAGAAATCATGATAGTGGGAGGCCTCAAGTTTGCATTCGCAGAGGGGGCCGAGAGCTGGGAGCCGTCGGCTTGGGGAGGGGGCTGCAGTCACCAAGACCAGCCTGGCTGTGGCGAGCTTGAGTAGCTTTAAGTGGTCTAATCAGCACTACTCTCCACAACACAAATAAATAAAAACTGAGTGCATTGGGCAGCAATATGGCGCGCCCCGTGCAATTAGAACCAGCTGAGCCGCACGTCCCATGGTCTACAAGGCAGGCGGCCCAGCCGGGCTCCGGGGACAGATGTCTGGGGCTTCTGAGCACCACGTCCAGTGTGACGGCGCCCAGCCCATGGGCCGACGGCTCCGCAATCACCAAGATCACCGCCGGGTCCAAGGCTGGCCAAAAACTGGGCCCCACAGGGGCCACCTTCAAGTGCACGCCCACTGTGGGGGCTTCGTTCTTCGGGATTCTGTCACGCAGCGATGCTAAGAGCAAGACTGTGAGAAGGGAACGTCTCCGACCGCGCTCACTCTGGGTGATTCTACTGCTGCACAGTGATGAAGCCTCCCACAACTCCAGGACTCGCGCAGGCGAAGGGAGAGCGGTTTGAGCAAGGCCAGGTGCCACGCTGTGTCCGGAAGTCCCAAAGCCCGGCCTGCCTTGAGTCGGAGACCCCCTGCACTCCAATCACTCCTGTGCACACCCTGGCTCTGGCTCCAGCCGGGTCTCCCTGCAGGCCTGGGCACCCTTCCTGCAGTGGGGTGACCCTTCTGAAAGGCTGCACCCCACACCCGCACGCCTCCCACACCCTCTCCCTCCTCCCAGCAGCCGGGGTAACTTCCACCTCCCAGCCTCAGGTCCTGGTTTAGGCGCCACTGCTCAGACAGGTTCTCCAGGCTGAAGTTGGCGTGGATCCACTGTGGGCAGAGCCCCCTGTGGACACAGCACCCGTGGACAGAGCCCCTGTGGACAGAGCCCCTGTGGACAGAACCCCTGTGGGCAGAGCCCCCTGTGGACACAGCACCCGTGGAGACAGCACCCATGGACAGAGCCCCCTGTGGACAGAGCCCCTGTGGACAGAACCCCCTGTGGACAGAGCCCCTGAGGACAGAGCCCCTGTGGACAGAGCCCCTGTAGACAGAGCTCCTCGTGGACAGAGCCCCCGTGGACACAGCACTCATGGACAGAGCTCCCATGGAGAGAGCCCCCTGTGGACAGAGCCCCTGTGGCCACATCCTGGACTCTGCATTGACTGACCTCGGCCAGCTCCCCTGAACCTGGATGGTCAGGGATGAGCCTCACATGCTGCCTTGCCCCCAGCAAGGAGCAGTCAACCCACGCTGAGGAATGAGGCCCACAGCATCTACCCCACAGGCTTTGGAGACACCATTTTCAGAAGGAGCCCCTTGGCCCCACCCCGATCCACAGCCCAGGCTGCTTCGGGCCCAGGTCCTGGTGTTGATTAAAAAGCAGAGCAAACCCCCCAGAAAGCTCAGCATCAGCCACAAGCTCTGGAAAAAGAAATGCTTGAGTCAAGGGTAAAAATGAAGAAAGAAGAGTTGACTCGATGGAACAGACAGGAGGAGAGGAAGCTCAAATACACAAACCTCCTCCACTCAACCTCTCCTGTGGACAGTATGCTGCCTACAAAACTATGATTTCTCTCTCTCTCTCTCTCTCTCTCTCTCTCTCTCTCTCTCTCTGTCTGTCTGTCTCTCTCTCTCTCTCCCTCTGTTTCCTTTCTTTCTTTTATTTTTCACAGGCTCTCCCTAAATTACCCAGGCTGGCTTAAACTTGAGACTCTCCTGCCTCAGCCTCTTAAGCATCTGCGATTACAGGCACACGCCACTGCACCCAGCCATCTTTTCACAGTGAGTGGCCCATGAGGGGCTCTCAGATAAGCATGTCCTGAAAGGGGGGAGGGAAGAGGGTCCCGGGCAGGAGGAAGAATGCAGAATTCTGGGTAGGAATGCATGGAGAATCCTCGGAAGCCAAGCCAGGAGGGCCCCTGTGATAAACACTGCCGGCCCTGCATGTGCAGCAGGCTCCCGTAACGAACCCCATTCCAGTGTGACCCAGGAAAGAAGCACGCTCCCCACCTGAGAGTCTCATCTGCAGGCCTGGACATGGCCTGGCCGTGTTGGATGGACACACGAAGGACTGGGCAGCCCAGCAGTGCTGCCTTCCCTCCCGATCTGGCTTCAGTCCTGTGTGTGGTGTCTGTTCCCAGAAGCGTAGAAGAATAAGTCTGTGGGGCTCAGCATTGATCCTGGCCCAGAAAGAGTTGGAACCCTTCCGGGCAGGCCACATGGGCCGGGGCAGCCGCGTAGGAGTGCGTGTCTGTGGGCAGACTGGTGAGGTGGCCTTGCCCAGTGATGTGGACTGCCTTTCCAGGCTCCACGGAGACAGGGAAGGTAGAGCCTGCCAGAGGGCGCTAAGTGGAGTCTACGCCTGTGGGAGCCAGGGGGAGTGGTCATGAGGCCACCGCTTTCTGGACAGGGTCTCACCCGGTCCTCCCTAACCTGAAGAGTGGAATCACAGCTGCACGGAAGGGGAAACTGAGGCCTGGGGGTGCTGAGTGAGCTTCCCAGGGCCACATAGCCGGCAAGTGGCAACTGAGGGATTGGAAGCCATGCACGCCAGCCGGGCCTCCTTCGGGACACCGGGACTGTTGGCATGGGCCTGTGGGAAGCAGTCCAGTCCCATGAGCGGTGGGGTGGTCCAGGCGAGTTCCCTCCTCATCTCCCAGGAGCCTGGGGAGCCCAGGTGCTCCCAAAATGTGGGTTCAGCAGGGTGGGCCCAGCTCCCTGGGGAAGGAAGGGTGCCTGTCTCCTCAAGTCTCATCCCCAGGCCCAGCTCTCTTTTGTGGCCGGGCGGGCTGCAGGCACCCGGGCTGCCACCCCTTCCCGCTGACCCACTGCACCCCGCACACACAACCCCACCTGCCAGCGTCTGCCCGCTTCCTTCTGCCTCCTGGGCTTCTGGCACCAGCTCCATGGGCACCCTGGTTTGTGGAATGTCATCTGCAAATATGGGCATCTGCACTGGGCCCACACTGTGGACGGCTCTGGGGTTGTTTATGAAACAGCAGCAGTCCCTGCCTGTCGCACCGCGACAAGCCGGGCTTGCAGGCTGAGCCAGACCTTAGGGGAGCGAGGACTGGTGTCCCCCGCTTTCCTTTCCTGTCCAGGGGCCAGTATGGGAGCCTCGGGGAGGATTCACCCTGGGCTCTGCATAACCCAGACAAGCTGGTGCGACTTTGTGGCCCGGTGGCTTGGTTGGGAGCCAGCAAGGTTCACAGGGGCTGGGTTAGATCAGCTGGGACTCGTCCCAGCCAGGTACTCAATGGTTTAACCAGGGGCTGGAGAGCTCAGCAGGGCCTAGTTAGCAGAGTTGAGGCCTGGTTTTCTCAAACTCGGCTGGAATTTGGTTGGTTAATGCACCCCGTGGCTGATAAGCTCCACTTCCTGCAGCACTGGACACTGGACAGGAGACCTTGACCTTTATCTTCCTGAACATGAGTAGGCATCGCTGGCCGGGTTTGCTACGCCAGACCCCAGGCCTCGCCCAGGTAGAGAGCACACAGGTGAGAGAGCTGGCAGGGTCCCCACGGCCCAGGGGCAGAGGCAGGAAGAGAGCTCTAAGCCCAGCCCTGCCCAGCCCCCATCCACACGTCCAGTGCACGTCATCTTTGGCCCTCACATGGGCGCCAGTAGAGACAGCAGCAATGAGATCACGACCATCCATGTTTATCCAGCGACACTGAGTGTTGCCTCCGCCTAGCATGATGTGAAGCACAAGGACGCAGTGAGACAGCACCATGGACACCATCTGGCCAACTTCCCAGCCTCCCTTGCAGTAGGAAGTGGTCATGTGACTGGGCTTAGCCAATGGAATGTGGGCAGAGAGCCGTGCGCCTTCCCAGGGGCCTGTTAGCTCCCTGCTCAGCCCGCCCCTCCTTGCCTTTCCTGTGCTTGCTGGCAGATGCAGAGGGCCCAGGTCCCACAGACGAGGAAGCTGAGGACATAAATCCCAGGTCCCTGACTGCAGCACGGAGCAGACCCCTGGGGTACCCGAGCTGCCCGGACCCCGGACTGCATGGGAGAGAAGCAAACTGCATCACAACCCCGCGGTTGTGGCAGGGCTGAGCCATCCTGACCAGTGTACTGCCCAGCTATGAACAGGTGCCCCGGAGCCCTGGCTCCTCCCCCCGCACCCCAGCTTGTATACTGCCACCCGCTTTCTCCTCCCCACACCCCCACTGCTTGGCTTCTGATGCCCTCAGCCTGAAGGCATCATCCAACCCCCTTCTCTCCTGAGAGCAGACAGGGTCTCATCGGGGGCATGCAGGTGACAAAAGCCACCGCACCATGCAGGAGTCTGGAGAGGGGCCAGGTCCTCCAGCAGATTCAGGGTGGGGCAGGGCTCCATGCTCCCCTGGGCTGTGTGGACCCGGCCCTTCGAACTTCAGAGGGCCATGTTGCCTTAAACAAAGTACATAGGAAGCATTTGCCAGCCTCAAACCCACCCCAAACACCTGGGCTGTGTGCCTCTGGCCCGCCATGGCTCAGGCTGCTCAGGGTGCTAGAACCAAATTCCAGAAGCAGAGTGGCTTACAAACAACCGAAATCTGCTTCTTACAGCTCGGAAGGCTGGGAGGTCCCAGCTCACGGCAGATCGGTGTCTGATTAGGGTTGGTGTCTGGCATGGACAGTGCCTCCTTGCTGGGTCCTCAGGCCACAGAGGGCCGGAAGGGTCTCGGCCCCTTTGTGACACTAGTCCTCTCCATGAGGCCTAAGCCCCACCCCCAGATCCACCTTCTAGGGCCACCACCGTGGAGGTTAGGGTTTCCCTGTGAGTTCGGGGACCACAGGCACTCAGATCAGCGTACTTCAGAGTACGATTCTGATGAAGAGGCCAGGGTTACTCTTCCCCCGTCAGGCATGAGCGCCTTCAGCAGTGGATTCCTCTCCGCCAGTCGCCATGCACTTCCGGTGGAAAGGCCCCTGACGGTCTCTAGCGGTCACACCCTCAGCCCTTCCCTTGGCTTCCTCCAGCCTAGCCCTGAGAAACACCTGGCACTTGAGCAGCCTCTCCTCTCCCCAGCCTTCTCCCTCCTGGCTCTGTCACTTCCAAACAGAGGCACGGCCCGCAGCCCGTTCTCCACCACTCTCCTTTCTCGGTTCTCCTTGGCAAGTAAGACTATAGCTGCTACTAGTATGGATAGCCAGCATTTCCCAACTCTGGCATGGCCCAGCCGCCCAGCATGTCACCTGCATGGTCCCACCTAACCCCACCCAGGGCCCTGTGGAGTTGGGGTGCTGTAACTCCATCCTCCACCCAGGAAGTCAAAGCGAAGAGCCTGGAGAAGTGACTTTCACAAGGCCACCCAGCTGGCAGGGGTGGGGTTGGACCAGGCCAGTGCTCGCATCCCCTCCTCTGGGCAGACGCAGCCCCACTTCCAGGGTACAGGCTTGGCAAAGGAGGGCACTGAGGACCACTTGCCCCTTGGCCACGCCTCTCCTCCCAGAGCACAAAGTGCAGGGGCACATGATGGACGGGGGAGCCAGGACCCAGACCCTGGGCTCAGGGATGCGATCACTCACCAAACCTGCCCCCACTCCACTGTCCACCGGGAGGATCACAGCGTGGGCACAGAGCTCAGCCGGGGTCTGGTGTGTAAGCGGCATGGGATGTCAAGGAGTCGCTGTTGCTGTCACTATTATTCATCTCACCATTCCGATCCACTCCTAAAGCATCAACAAACGCATTCATCAAGTGCCCAGTGACCTCTCTGGTGCCCAGCGGTATACTAGGGACTGAGTTATGGAGATGACCAGTAGGCAGTTACCGCCCCGCTTCATGGAAAAGCTAGCTGGGGAGAAACCACCAGACAATGAGCTAAAATGAAAATGGACAAGTCCAGTAGCAGAGGCGGCACAGGGTGCCGTGTGGGCACCACGGAGGGAGCCGTGTGCCAGTGCAAGCAGGGGCAGCATCGGGGCAGGTCGGGAATCAGTGCCAGAGAGAAAGCAGCGTTTTTTAAATCATTGGGCTCAGTCGATATTGATCAGTATGGGTTTCTAGGAGAGACTCTCTGGAGGTTCCCCTCCTCCAGGAGCCTCCCTGGTTCCCGCCCTTCGTTCCCTGCAGCCCTGCGGCTCTCGGACCCTCCCTCTGCCCGCACAGAGCACACTGTGGCACCATCCGTGGCCGAGAGCAGGTCGCACACTGAACAGCAGACCGAGGACGCTCCAAGCCTCAGCGCTCTCCCCACACAACCCGGGAGGCTGACTCGGCCCCGCCGCCTCCTCCTCGAGCCTGCAGAGAGGGCTGGGGCTGGGGCAGCGCACACACAAACATCTCATAGGATGGGCTGCTGCCTCCAGGACAAACCCAGGCTCGTCCCTGCCGCCCACCGCTTCCGCTGGCCCAGGTCTCCCTGCAGTTCGGGACGGCCGGGCGCTGTGGCCAAACCCTCATGCCGGACAATCCCCCTCCCCTGCTGTCCTGCAAATGACCACCCCCTTTGCATTGTGAATAAATGGCCGGTCCATTCCCTCCCTGGCTTCTCTGCTTGGATTGAAATTTTGCGCCTTTGAGATCGCAGCACCCACAGGACACCAACAAAGAGCCCTCCTGCAGCTGGGTGCTCATGCACTGCTGGGTAACTATGGATCAGGGAGGCAGCTCACCACAGAACAAGCGTGTATTTTCTCCAGCACGGAGGTGTTTATGTAAATTAGAGCCCAAGATCCCATTGTAGAAGCAGTGACTGCAGATCTTTCACTTCTTTACTTTTTGTTTTGATTTGTTTTGCTTTGCTTTTTTGGGGACAGGGTCTCACTATGTAGCCAAGGCTGGCCTCGAGCTCACAGTGCTTGGCTCAGCCTCCCGAGTGCTGGGATCACGGGCGTGCACCACCACACCCGGCTATCTCTTCATTCTGTAAAGTAGATCCCAGAATAAAAGTGTTATACACGTGCTCAAATTTAAATAAAAGCTTTGAAATGTGCATTTCTCTTAAAGGTGTGCGTTGGTTTCTAACGGGCCCTGAGTCCTGCTCTGCCACCGGTGCGGCTCTCTGTCCGGCGATCCACTGTCCACAAAGACACACTGTCTTCGCACGGGGGAACGCGGCTGTCTGGCCTGTGGGTCCCTAGACTCCCGTTATTCTAGCCTAAATCCCACTGATGTCACACTGGGCCTCATGTCTTGTGTGAATTCCCTCCCTCCCTGATAGAAGGACCTACTCGCTGGAACAGACTAAAGTTTTGAAAGTGCTTTCTGCAAGACAAAGGAAAAAGACTTTCCTGCCAGGTTTCATTCTTCCGACGACCCCTTCGCAGGGAGCGACGTTGGATGTGTCCTTCACCTCCCCCACCAAGCACCAGCTTTCCCGCCATGCTGTCGCCCCCTCCTGGCAGCCGTGGGAGGCGCCTTGCTCCGCGGCTCCCTAAGGCGAAGGCTGGGGCTTTGTCTGGGAAACGCTGCCGGCCTCTGCGGCTAGGGACATTTTACTAGCGAAGCCGCCACCCAGGAGCGGAGCCTTGGATACACAGCTTCCCTGGTCTCTCGGCCCCAGGACCAGCCCTGGCTGACTCCCCTCCTGCAGGGCCGCCCTCCCGTCCTCCTGCTGAGGTCCGCGTGTGCTTCTCCCTTCTTCCTCGGCACCTGGCACGGGTCCTGGGCCCGGCTGAGCTCGGTAAAGGAGCAGGAAGCCGGCGTGGCACTTCCACGGAAGGAGGGGCTGGGAGGTTTCCCACGGGTGCCTCGGGGCTTTGGGGAATCATTTAGTCATCAAAAAGTGCTTGGGAACAGATTAGAAATCAGAATAAGAACTTTTCTCTCCTTCTCCCTTTCTCCACGGCAGAGCAGAATCAAAATCCCAGCCCTGTTTAGTGTCATCGGACCCTCGGAGGAGCAGCTGTCCTCTTTGAGGTTCGGTTTCAGGAGACAAGAAAAAAGGAAGGAAAAGAGGGAAGGAGGGAGGGAGAAGGGAAGGAGAGAATGAAAGAATGAAGGAAGAAAGAAGAGAAGGAAGGAGGAAAGAAGGAAGAAAAAGGAGAGAAGGGAGGGGGGAAGGAAAAGACTCCGAGTCCTCCCTGCTCCGTGCGAGCCGAGACTCGGCCGGACTGGACGCAAGCCGAGCTCCTCTATCAGACAGAAGCCAGAGCCAGCGCCTGCGCAGCCATCTCCATACCTGCACTCTGGGGCCGCCGAGGGTCAGCTAGGCCGGACCAGCCGTGGGGGCCGCAGGCCGCAGCGGGAGAGGAAGATGCCCCACAGCCTTCCCTCCCGGGTCTGCCCTGTCTCCAGCTCACACCGGGAGACGCCCGCCCTCTGCATCCGAGGGTCAGAGTCCCCGGGCGGGGAGTTCCTGACCCGCTCAGGGCTCCTGCTTTTCATCTGTACATTCAGAGTAACAGCCACCCGTGTGCCAGGTAGGAGCGTAGCGAACTTGCACGGGACCATTTTGATCACTGGAAGCAGCAGTCCGGGCTGCCCCACCTCATGCTCACTGCAGGACTAAGTAAAATCCTCCAGAGGAAGCGCTCGCCAGGCTGCGGCAGGGAGGCCCGGTGAAGATTTGCACTTCCGGCTGGGCATGCTCCGGGCGTTGGCAGCCATCACTGGTCTTTCTCAGAGGAGGGGAGAGGCGATGAGTGGACTGACCGACCCAGCCATCCTGCTCGGCCCCCAGGGAGCCTGAGTGGGAGCGGAGCCTGTGACAGCGGGCAGCCCGGAGAGCGCTGGCGCGAGCTCCCTGTGCGGGCCACCGCCTGGTCCTGCAGACAGGGACTCTGCTGCCCTCTGGCCTGGGATGCGAACTGGGCAGGTCCAGAAAGTGTCCTGGCCCTCAGGGAGCTCTTGCTGCTTCTCCAGCTTCCACTGGGGCAGGCATTTCCAGTCCTTTCCTCATGGCCGCCATGACGGAGGCCCAAGACCCCAAGTCGAACTTGTGCTATATTTATATCCACACCAGGCATGGAGATCTATGAGATGTGATAAAAACTGTGGTGACTGCTGCTGCCGCGCGCCATCCCACTGAAAGGCAGCTCAGGAAACCATGACGCTGTGTCCTCGTCCACCTTAGTCACCGGATCTGGCACCGTGTGACTTCCGGCTCTTCCCCCAAGTCAAAATGACCAGGAAAGGGGAGTATTCCGAATCATTTCAGGATGTGAGGCTGCAGCAGTCCTGCCAGGTGGGACTGCTGGGGGTCGAGACCCACCAGCTGGGGTCCAGGCACCCACTGGTGCTCTGGGAACCTATCCACGGACAAGGGAGCACTGTGGCGTTACAGTGACACACGAGACAAAGCACATGAGGGCAGGAGCAGGCTGCTAGGGCCTGCGGGGACCAGGGCGGGGGAGCCTGAAGCTTGGACTTCGATGTCCCCGTAGCGCAGCTGCCTCTGGTTGTTGCAGGTGGCCCCGCACCCCACACTGGCCAGCCTTTGCCTTCGTACAGTCGGGCCTGGGGCATGGACCCACAGAACCACTGCGCCGAAATGTGCTTCAGGGAGCAGCTCTGTAAGCCTCGGACTTTATATCTGAGCAGAACAAGGAGGGCGGGGTTTGGGCCAAGGTCACACAGACTGGAATAATTACAGCCCAACAGGCAAATGAAGTCCAGGAGAGGGCACCTTAATGAGTTTAAATATGCAAATCTCGGCTATCCTTTTGCAAGTGAACATTGGCCATACAAAGGACTACCTGTTTTTTAAAAATGAAATAGCAAAGGGCTGGGGATTTAGCTCAGTGGTTTTGCTGCCTGCCACGCAAGCACAAGGACCTGAGTTCAATCCCTGGTACCAAAACAAACAAACAAAAAATGAAATAGCATAACAAAAAATACGTAAATCTATAGGCTATACAAGTAGTCAAGACTAGCTTTTAGTAATATTTTTCAAGCATATGGTAGTGAATGTTTCTTAAATTGCTTTGAAATTGTATATACCAACTGAATCACTCATGCACTCAAAAACTGTTCAGTCTTACCTTGGTCTGAGAATCCCAGAATGCAGATTTGGGTGCAGGTAGCTTTGGACAAGTGAGAAGTAGAGTTTCAGGGGACATTTCTGGTTCCAGTTGATAGCGTTCTCAGATGCACTAGATAGAAGGCATCGAGCGACAGCTGTGAGGTTCTTGGCTTGAGCATCGGGATGCCTGAGGGTTATTTATTGAGAGGGGGAGCCAGATGGATGGGTTCTCTGGAGAAACCGAATGCAGATATATGTGCTCCTCTCTGTGACAGGGAGACTGATTTACTGTCACAGCTCTTGCAACTCTAGAAGCTAAGAAGCCCCAGGACCTCGGTCGGCAAGCTGGAGACTCAGAGTAGCTGAAGTCACGGGTCCGGGCCAAGTCTACAGGCCCTAGGACTAGGACAGCACACAGTGAAAAAAGTTCCAGTTCAAGCCCTCGCAGGAAGGCAGGAAAAGGCCAGTGACCAAGCTCATACACAGAAAAAGTTCTTTCTTACTCAGTTTTGGGGTTTTTTTTCCCACCACTGGGGATTGAACCCGGGGCCTTTGCACTGAGCTACATCCCTAGCACTTTTTAATTTTTTTTTTTTTTACATTCAGACTGAGGCCTGCCAAGCCATTATATACCTCTGCTAGGCTTAAACCTGGAATCCTCCTGCCTCAACCTCCCAGAGTTCAGGGATGACCGGTGTGTACCATCACGCCTGCTGGTTTTTATTCTACGAGCCTTCAGGAGAGTGGATGATCCCCACCCAGCTATGGAAGGGCAATTTTCTTTGCTCATCTTGGCTTGAATGTTAACCTCATCCGGACAGACCGTGTACACACCCCAAACCCCACTTTACCGAATGCCTTGGCACCTGTGACTCAGTTGTGTTGGCACACAAAGTCAGCCGTCACACCGAGGAAAACAGGATGGTCACGCAGTGCGGGGACCAAGACTGCTGCCTGAACCACATCCGAGCGAGAAGCCTAAGAGACACCAGCGTGAATGACCAACGAGCAGCAGGGTGCAGCAGCTTGATGTTCTGGGGAGCCGAGGCGGGGAACAGAATGTGGAATTACTGCTGTAGAGACGGCTTTGAGGCCAAGGACTGGCTGATGTTGCCTCATCAGAGAGAAACCCAGTGTGCTCCGTGCAGCCTGGCTTCCCGGGGCCGTTTGGGCTGCCTTCACAGCACCAAAGCGAGGCAGCTGAGCAGGGAAATGTGCTGTCTCCTGGCTGTGGAGCCCAGGAGCACGATCAGAGCACTGAGCGGCTGCCTGCTTCCGAGGGCCTCGAGCACAGTCAGCCCCAGCCTCTCTAGTGCCTGCTGCTTCGCCGGTAACCTTGGTGTGGCTTGGCTGGTAGATGGAACACCTGCCTCTGCCCGCCTTCATGCCCACATGGGGCTGTGTGTGTACGCCTGTGTGCAAATGTCCCCTTTTTGTAAGGACATCCACCCTCTGGGAGTAGGGCCCACCCTAATGAACTCACGTAACGTGATTCCTTCTGGAAAGATCCTACTTCCAAGTAAGTCCGCGTCCTGAGGCAGTGGGATGAGGACGTAACCACCTCTTTGCGGGATGCAATTTAGCCCACACCAGCACGCTTATCCTGTTCCCTCTGCTCTTTGCTCTGGGTCTGCATCCATCCTGTTCCTTTTCTGCCGGACGCTGGTCCAACTGCTCCTCTGGTGGCTGCCCATGAGATGGTTCCTGACAGACACTCGATCCTTGAGTGACTCCAAGGCCTTCTCTCCTCTGGTGACCTGTAGCCTGAGCCACTGTGAGAACCTGGTGCCCAGCTCTGACTTCTGGGAGCCAAAGCTTGACATCAACCCACTTGGGCTTTGCAAGTTCTCACTGAGAAGCGCACGTCACCCGAGCACCAAATACACCGAACTTTTCCAGAGTTAGCCTACTTCTCAGGGAGGGAAGACACCACCACTCACGGTTCATCAGACAGGCTTTGGATGGGTGGTCAAATTCTGTCAAGACAACGAAGAATTAACAAAGATCTGGACAAAATGGGTAAATTGAGGTGAGGGGGTGCAGAAGGAGGAGCCATGCATGGAGTCACAAAAATGAGTCCTCAGGCTGTCAGCCCCTAACCCTGAGTGTCCTCCCTACACCCTGGAAACTTCCTTCTCCCATGACATGACGTGGCTGCAGAGCGTCTTGGGGGACAAAGGAAGAGGTGGCCTGAAGGAGCCCTCGTGCTCTCGGTATCCTTTCAGGGTCTGAGCCCTGTTCCTGAGGAGCATTTGGATCCCTTTGTGTTGGGCGTGGTTAGTTAGGGTTCGCTGGAGGAACCGATTTCATATAAAATACATATGCTATGTAATGGGTTTACAAGGTAGGCTTTCGTTGGCCTCCCGCAGAGTCAGGACGGAAGGATCCAGAATGGCCGCCTGCCCCCTGGTGAGCCGGAGGATCCAGTCAAAGGTGGAAGGGCTGGAGTGCTCTGCAGAGTCAGTGTGAGTCCTTGTCCAAAAGTTGAAGGGCCTGCACTGGATGCCTGAAGGAACTGGAGATGGACAAATGTCCAAAGGCGTGCAGACTTGAGCTCACTGAAGCAAAAGGACAGACTTCCTCCTTCTTTCCCCTTTTATTCTGTCTGGGCTACAAGCCTATTGGTTGGTGCTACCCACATCCGGGGTGGGTCTTCCTGTCTCATTCTGTGGCTGACATGTCAATCATCCACAGACATACTCAGGGCTTTACTAATCCACTAGGCGGTTTTCACTCCACTAAAAGTGACAGATCACAGTTAACAATCACAGCTGGGGACACAGAAGTGTCTCCTCCCCACACTGGATGCCTGTAGCTGCCCCTATGACCCTATGTGCCTCCCACTTCCTGGTATTCAACAAGCCCCTGCCTCCATGGGGTTCTGGAGGTCCCTGGTCAAATGCAGGACACCAGGTTACATTCAGATTTCCAATCCACAAGAATGCATTTTAATGTAAGAATGTCCGGTGCGTCATTGAAGACGTGCTTATGTTAAAAACTGTCGTTTACCTGAAATTCAAATGTGACGGGAGTGGGTGGGTCCTGCCAGCGTGGTTTTGCTGTAGAAGTGAGTGCTCCCTGTCCAGGACCCTCTCTGCTCCTGGCCTCTCTCCTGTGGTCTTTCTGTTTCTGTTAGCACACATTTGCAGTACATAAGGGTCGCATTCCTCTGGGAGCTTGGTGCGTGGACGTGATACAACTGAACTCCTTTTACGACCCCTCCCCTCCCCTCCCTGCGTCTCCCTCTGTCCCTTGGTTACCTTCCCATTTGCAGAACATCCATCTCCCTGTTTCCTTTTATCTACCTTTTATTTTGCTCTTTTTTTTTTTTTTGGTACTGGGGATCGAACTCGGGTCCTTACACTTGCACAGCAGGCGACTGAACCACTGGGCTAAATCCCCGGCCCTATTTGGCTCTTTATTTATACTTCAGGTTTCTTAAATAAGACAAATCATGTGCTCCCGAAGCTTGTGTGTCTGATCTACTTCATTTAACATCATGGTCTCAAGGCGCATCCATATCCTATGGATGACTCGAGTTTATCCCTCTCTGTGGCAGCCTAGTACTCCATTGTGCATAAGCACCACATTTTCTTTGTCCAGTCTTCTGTTGACAGACATTAGGCAACTTCTAAGATTGGGCTACTGTGCTTCAAGCTGCTGTAACATGGCTGTGTGGATCGCTGGTCTCTGGTGGCGTTGACCTGGGCTTCCCAGCCTCAGAGCCATGAGAAATGGGTCCCTTGCCTTGTGAGCCAATGAGTGTGGCATTCTGGCACAACACAGAGCCGCTAGGACACCGAACTCCCAAGGTGGAGAAAACGAGTTGAACTGGTCACTCCTGCCTGCCCCACCACATACACTCTTCGGGAAGGAAGGAAGGGGCCGCTCTGGGGGCCTTTGGGATAGGGTTCGAGGAGGGGACCGCCTTGCCTGGTGACCTGCGTGCAGGCCTGGGCCCAGCACACACTTGGTGGTTCTGCCACACCCATTGCCCTGAGGGTGCCACACAGGGGAACCTCTGGGTCTCCAGAGGGACCAGACCCCAGTCCGAGACAAAGCCTCACAGGGTCCCCAGTCTGCTCGGCTCGGGGAGAGGGGTCACCAAGGCTCTCGAGCAGCTCAAAGCAGACCTGAGGCCTGGCAAGGCGTCAGAGCCAGGTCTGGGCAGAGGGAGAGGGGCAGCCGGGAGGAGATGGGGCTCGGGACTGAGGGAGAGTGTGTGGGGCTGGGGTGGCGATGGCACTGCCGACATCCCAGGACCCACCACTGCTGTGCCGAGGTCTGTGTGCTGGGCCTCGCTGAATTCCTCTCAGGTAACCAGAGTCCTCATTGCCCTTCACCCCTGGGGAGCAGCCTCTCCGTGCCCTCGGCCACCCAGGCTCGGGCCTTGTGCAGTCCCCAGCCTGCACTCTGCTCCTGGCTGCCCTGCCGATGACGTCTGTCCTCAGATTGGACCGGGTCCTGCCTGCGTAGACAGCGGCGGGAAGGGGAAGCACAATCTTCTCCCCACCAGGTTAAGGCCTAGCTGAGGGCTGGGCCGGGTGGGTGGAGGAGGAGAAAGGCTCTTTCCTTCCGATCTACTTTACCATGCGGCAGAACTTCTATGAGGGTCGCTCCAGAGGGGGTGGTGAGTGAGCCCTGCCCGAGGGGTGAAGGCCTGGTCCCGACCCACCTTACCCAGCAGTAGAGCTGGGCTTTGGGATGTGGGTGCCTTCAAATCACAGCGGGTCCCGGGGCCGGGGGTCGGGGGCGTGGCCCCAGGGTCTGCACACTTTAGCAGGGCTCCAGCAGAATGGTTACTGAGGGCTCAGTTCATGGATGCTTCTAGGCGTGCCTTGGAAAATACTTGGATCAAATGACTTGGGAAACTGGGATCACCAAAGTTCAGTGGATTATTACTGTTGTCACTATTAGCCTTGCAGCCCTGGAGACGAGCCAGGGCCTCACACCAGCTAGGTTAGCTTCCACCCCACCCTGGGGTTCTTCACCTCAAAGACCTCTTGCCAGCTTCTACGCCTTGTGTCCCTCGAGGGGGACAAAATATGCAGCAATTCTCCAATGTATTCCGCTGCAGGCTCTTTGCTTGCTCAGATCTGAGACGAGGGCTTTGTCAAGTGCACCTCAGAGCGTGCCTCACTGGGAGCCAAGCCCTCACCCTGCTCTGGCTCCAGGACTCCCGCGAGACTTTAACCGTGGAGGAGTGAGACCTGCATCCTTGGCTTCTGAGCTGGACTCCGCCTTCACACAGACTCCGTCCGAAAGACCCACGGCCGAAGACCAAGGGTCCCGTCAGTGTCACAGTCGAGGAGCGTGGACTTGGCCCGAACCTCGCTCCCAGCTCTCACTGTGTGCTGGGTCGGCATCTTCAGCAGACCTCGGCCTCCAGGCCTGCAAGGTGGGCTGACTGTGACCCGCCAGTGCGCCCTGGACCTGGCTCGCTGCCCTGCACACAGGCAAGGCCACGCACACCTCGGTTACAGTGACAGCACAGCGTGTCGTGCTCGCTCGCTTCTCACTCTGGCTTCTTATTTCAGGAGAGGGCAGGGGGTGGAGAGAAGGTGCACACATCCTGGCGTGGACGGGAACTCGGACTCTGAAGCTGATGAGGATCATTTGCCTGCAGCCCACCAAGTGCAGGCCAAGCCCTCCCACAGCAAGATCGGTCCGGGCCTCAGTGGGCCCCATCTTCTGGCCTGGCACGGCCGCTTCCCTATAGACCACTTCCCCTCCATGCTCAGGGAAGGGCCCCGGATGGGTTCTGACGGGCAGGAACGGAGCTCATGCAGCCAGAGGAGGCTGGCACCAAACGCTTCCAGCACCCAGCCCAGGTGCTCACCATGGAGAGCAGAGGGGAGGAACAGCAGCCAAGGCCTCAGGGCCGGGCAGGCGAAGCTCAGGGTTCCCAGCAGCAGCACCTGGGTTCCCACCACAGAGTAGCACAGGGCTCCGGGAGGGGCGGCGACACTGGTTTCCTGCTGGGACGCAGTCCAGTGACCACGGGCACTTTGGAACCTGGCTTTACAGCTGCCTTGGAACAGCAAGGTGCTTGGGGAGTGAAGGAGGCAGTGTCCTTAGGCATCTGGGAGTAGCGACCTGCTGGGAGGCCTGCTTCACCCACAGCGGCAAGTGCCTGTGCCCCGCAAGGGCGCTCAGGGCCACGGAGGGAGCATAGGGTTCCTAAGCACCTACTAAGCGCTGGGCACAATGCCAGGAGGCCTCCAAGGTATTGACGGAGGCGTGCAGCTCATGCCTGACAAGGCCTTGCTAAGAGAGGGTAGAGGGTCCCCCGGGGCTGGTCAGAGGCAGCCAGCATGAGAGGGAGGCCTGCTACCCGCAGCTCCGTGCAAGCAGCTGTGCAGATGGCTGTCACCATGGCAGCAGGGGGCTCAGAGAAGTCAGAAGTAGGGAGAACTTTGGTGTTTCTGTTTTTATCAGTCCATGTCTGCAGCACATGATGATTATACCCCTCATGTGGAGCTAGTGTGCGCACAGAGCACATCTCGTTCTTTTTACTTCCCCTTCCCTTCATCTCTTGGTCCTCTTCCTACTTGCAAAAAACCTATCTCGGGCCAGGGATTTGGCTCAGTGGTTCTGCCACCTGCCCTGCAAGCAGAAGAACCCAAGTTGGATGCCCCGTACCAAAAAAACCTCTCTCCCTTTTTCTTATAATCTATCTTTTATTTTATTCATTTTTAAATTATTTATACTTTGGGCTTCTCGTACACAGCCCCAGGGGGAGCCAGCAGCCCCTCCCTGGGCAGTTGTGGGAGCTGGTGGCTGGGGTGACGATGAGCCGTCCTGGGAAGATCAGGCCCCTGACCAGAGGGAGAAGCCAGAGGCTCCCTCCAGACGTGCGACTCGGACAGGATTTGTGTTCGGACAAACAAACACTGTGCTTCCTTCCGGCCTGGAGCCTGGGTTCCAGGCTGAAGAGGCAGGTTCACCGAACTCAGAGGCCTGGGCGGCCAGGGAGTTGCAACACTGCCACCTCCTGGGCACACGGGCCACTGCGGCCAGGGTGACCGTGGCACGCAGAGACCCCACTGCTTCCCCAGGAGCCCACGGAGGTTGTGGCGCAGGGTGCTGGTGTTGTCTATTAGTGAAAAGCACCAGAAATCAAAAGCTCACGAGCTGCAATTCCATCTTCCTGTGCATCAGCTGACAGACATCACAGGGCACACATGCTGTGCCTCACACTCCGTGCAGAACAGTTATGGACACAAATGGTCCTGACCCTGGGGGGCTGATGATCCCATGGAGAAGATGGACTGCAAAGAGGAATTATCTCCTTGGAAACAGAGGGCTTGTGACACCTGCTTAGAAGGAAGGCAGCCAGCTGTGGAGACATCATGGAGGTGGAGGATGGGCCCGGCCTGGCCGGCAGTCGGGGAGCGTTTCACAGAGTCCTGCACCACCTGGATGCCCCTGGAGGATGTGGAGGAATCAGCCAGGCAGAGAGCCAGGAGACCAGCAGGTGAGAGGGCCTGAGAGAGAGGGAGACACACACAAGAGAAACGGAAGGAAGCTCCGCAGGGGTGGCCACGGGGACCTGGAAGACTGGGGTGAGGTGAGAGTGGCTACAGACAAGGGTCACCTGACACAGGCCCTCACGGGGTGGTGGCTAGGACCTGGCCTGATTGGCAAAGACGTTTTTGTTACATCTGACTAGTTTTAGCAAAAAAGCAACATACTTGTTTGTAGAACTGGACAGTCTGGGGTAAGAGCTTCAGGAGTAGGTGGATCCGGGGGGCTCAAACCGTGTCGTGAAGACTTTCTTGGGGGTTGAGGATATGGCTCAGGGGTAGAATGTCTGCTTAGAATGCAGGAGGGCCTGAGTTCAAACCTCAGTACTGATAAAGAAGTTAAGATTTTCTTTTCAACTGATTCTTATGTATTGGCCTCATGCTCTCTTGCACTGACAGGTTCTATCAATCTGATAGGAAAATAGTCACTGATATTCAGCAGGCCTGCATCTTCATAACCAAAAGGAAGAGAATGTTCCCCTTCTAGCTCCAATTTGGAGGGAAAAAAAATCAGAGGAGGATTCTGATTGGTCCAGTTGGGTCCCATGCTTGCCCATTGGCCCAGTCACCGTGTCCATAGGAATTGCAGTCCAGTGATTGGCTCAACATGAGCCATGTTCCTACCACTGTAGCTCCAATGGGGGAGAGGGTGCTAATTATCATAGAAGAAAAATGGGAAAGTTTGTGGGATTTCAAAACTGTCATCATAAACCCAAAGCTACTTGAAACCACTGAAGGGTTTTATGCAAGTGAAAGCAAAGTAAGCTTCATTTTTTTGTAAAGATCACACTGGCTGTGGTGAGGCTGGAATGGAGGTGCAAAGGTGGAAGCGGAAAGGGTTTTAGATTCCAGCAAATTGCAACTTCTCCCAGCTACCTAAGAGTCCCCCGGAAATGCTTGATAAACCACAGCAGGAAATCTTTAAATGCAGGAAAGTCTAAGAATCCTCCAAAGACGGGGAGGAAACAGGAAAACGGGGCTCAGTGGGTGGTGGACACCCAGCTTGAGGGAAAGCTCTCCCAACCCCAGGTACCAAGGGACTTGGGTTATGGTGGTCACAAGGGGAAGGGGCCAGGCCTGCGCTGAGCAGGGACTGGACAATGTGCCCGTCACTGTGGAGAGTGCGTAAGGGTGCGGCACGCCTGGGCCTGCCCTCTGGTGGAGAGAAGGCTTTTGTAAACCTAGGTATTTTCTTGGGTCTGGGTTAAAATCCATTCCACTGCTGGGTCTTGAAATCCCAAGCTGATAACTCTGAAAACACTTCCAGGCTTGTCCTACCTCAAGGTCCCTAGAAACACTGCCACAGCTTCTCAGGGGAGACCCCAGGATGCACAGCACCCCTTGGAAAAGCCCCAGAGTCACAGCTCTTCTCCCTGTGAGGACCGTGTGGAGATTCCAGTGCCCACCGCCACCAGGCCTTCCCAAGCTGTCCAACCTGTCCCATCCTGGGGTCCTCTTCCTCCGAGTGCACAGTGTCTCGTGATGCGGACCTCTGCCTCCCACTGCCCAGTTTGGGGTCCCAGGGGCAGTTCCCCTGCGGGTGTCGGGGTCCTGCAGGCTGTCCGGCCCCCGGCACAATGCCCCTCCTAGTTGGGCGGGCACAGGGCAGGCAGGAGCCGCCTCGGGAAGGCTTTATTCCCAGCTGTGGCAGCAGATGCAATGCAGGGGAGCCAGAGCACCTCCCGCTGCACACCAGGCCCAGGTGGAGAGTGTGGACAACAGGAGGGAGGCTGCCCCAACCTGCACCAGGCCCCAGGTGTGACTCTGACTGTGCTCTGGGAGCCTGGCTCCTCCCACACCAGGCCGGGGGGGGGGGGGCGGGGTGGCAAGGCTGGCCCAAGTCCTGAGGTGGGAACCCAACGCCTGACTCAGAAAGCCAGCGCTGTTCAGCCCTGCCTGTGAAGAAGAAAAGCCCTGTGGCCCAAGGCTCCAGTGGGGCAACCCCAGTCCTTGCTGTCCCAAGAGACAGAGGGGTGCTGTCCTCGGGGACCCCAAAGGCCAGGAGGGAAACTGAAGCAGGACCCCTGCCAGGCTGCCCTGGGGGTGCACAGGGGCATGCTGAGCCCCAGAGCCCACACATCGGGGTGCTCTGCCCTCTTCAGGGACAGACAGATGGCTCAGGCCCCGGCTGGGCCTTCTGCTGCCATAGCCCACAGCGCCCACCGTGGTGCTGCCCGGGTCTACCCAGCAGCCTCTGGGGCAGGCGGGGCTGCACCTGTGGCCCATAAACAGCTGCCAGGCGCAGCTACGGACGAGGTGGTTGCTGCTTAGGTCTCATGGGGTATCTCGGTCACTGCCCTGTGCTGGAACTTTATACCCGACACCTCATCTTAAAGGACAGAGGTTATTTCAGCTCACTTTTCAGCCCAGGTCAGCTGGCTCCAAGGCAGAAACGGCACAGCAGAGGGTGGCGCAGGAGAGCTGCTCACGTCCCGGCGTCAGGCAGCAGAGAGAAGGGAGGGGCTGGGAGGAAGAGGAGCCCTTCCAGGTCAGCCCAGTGACCGCCTCTGTTCAAGTCCCACCTCTAACACAGGCAGCCCGGGGTCGAGTCACCTTCCACGAGCCCCGCCCAAGAGCCTGGGCTGGGGGGACACAGGCAGAGAGGTGTGCGTAGCGCGTCACTGGGCAAAGCACGGAGCACATGGCAGGCCACGGAGAGTGCTCTGCACCCCCACCCCAGCCCAGGGAGCAAGGACACACACCCGCCCGGGGCTCGCCGCAAATTCCCAGTGCTGTGAGGACAAAGCCCCCCAGAGCCGTCTCCATGTCGAAGGGGCTCCTCCTCTGGGGCGTTTGCTTGGTGCTGGAGTCAGAGGTGGGCAGACACGAAAGGTCGAGTGCGCACAACTCCATTTCTACCACGAGTGTCCAGACTTCTGTCTGCCCAGGCCATGCTGAGGGAAGAGGAACTGTCCTGGGCTACATGCAAAATACACCATTTACTCAACGTCTGTAAGTAACAAAACTCCTTGTCTTTATATTTTAACTTATTAAATCATGAAGTAACACACAAGCCCAAGTTTTGAAACTAAGTAAGAAAACTTACATCTTGGTAACAGTACGCCCGGCCACAGCACACACAGGTTGAAAGGCTAGAGCTGGCAATCCCTGCGGGCCAACCTGCACGAGCCGTGTGGCATCCCATTCACGTGGATTCTGCTGCGACTCGCTGCATGGCCCGCGCTGGAGGCGGAGTCCCCTTGTCAGCACCCAGTTCTCCCTCAAGTGCTGAAATCAAGTCGGGGAAGGTATTTCTAAAGACCACAGGGTAATCCTCGTGCCTGCCGGCTGCCTAGAGCTACAGGGACTTGGGCAAGTTACCCAGCCTCCATGCCTCTGTTTCCTCTTCAGGAAAATGGGCACGAGGACAGCGATCTTGTGGAGCCCCGGGGAACACAACGCTCCCGGCTGACTGCCCACGTGGGTTTAATCTGCGGTATCGAAGAACTGCTCCAGATCTCCACACAGGGCCTGCCAAGAGGAAGGGACACTAAAACACACTTCAAAGCCACTCTGCTGAGGGCCGGGGATGTAGCTCAGTGGTTCTACCGCCTGCCTTGCAAGCACAAGGATCCGAGTTCAATCCCCCGTACCAAAAAACAAAAAAAACCCACTGCTGAACTTCAATTTTGTCACATCAGAAAACACCCGGATGAACTGGAGCTGTCCTGTCCTATGTGCAGGCTCTCACATCCGGGAAAACTAACCAGGACCTAGGACTCAACCCCGGTTCCTGAAATGTTTCACTCAAGGAAAGGATCCAGGATATGCACATATATAACACATATACACACATATACATATATGCTGTATCTCCCTTTTTCTCCTACCCTTTTTAATTCATTAAGTTCATTGGTACATTTTAGGTATACAATACAGTTACATTCCTCGTTGGGATCTTATACCTTTCCATAATGCATCTTGGTTCTTCTTTTTCCCCATTCCCTGCCCTCCCTTCAACCCTTCCACCCCTCTCTATTTACAGAGACTTTGTTTCCATTTTTCCTTTTCTCATATTTTTTCCTTGCCCTTCTTTCCTTTCCCCTACGCCTCCCACTTCCCCTTCGCTTTTACACCTTTTCTTCCTATTTCACATTATCTATTATACATCTTGATCTTTATTTAAACTTTCAGTTTCTCACACCAGAGAAACTATTCCGTATTTACACATGTGGGTCCTATTTATTTCACTTAAGAGTATCACCTCAATGTGCATCCATTTAGCTATAAATGACTCTGGTTTCTCACTCTTCATGGCTGAGTAGTACTTCTTTTTTTTTTAAACCACATTTTCTTTATCCAGTCTCCAGCTGATGGGCAATTGGGCTGTTTCTAAGTTTTAGCTATTACAAGCCCTGCCGCTATGAACATGGGTGTGCATATATCACTATGGTAGGATTTTAAAAATTCTTTTGGGAAGATACCCAGCAGGGGAATAGCTAGGTCAAATGGGATCTCTAATCCTAGTTTTTTGAGGTATCTCCATACTGATTTCCACAGTGCTTGCACCAGTCTGTATATCCCTTCTTGATCTAATGGTAACTTGGATCAATACTTCCAAACATCATTTCCAGCCACATTTAATCGATTTTTCTCTGTGCTCCCCAGAAGGACCCTGGCACATTAGCACTGTTCTGCAGCACAGGGCATTCCTGCTGGGGGTGGGGTAGGAGGACGAACAGGAGCGGGATAGGACCCACTGATGATGGGAGGAATAGCAGGTCAGAAAGCATCTCCCTCATCCCTCCCTTCATTTGCCTGTGCTCTGATACAGACAGAAAGCTGTGCAGTGGTTACAAGTTGGCTGTGACCTCCTACGCTCAATGTGACCTTGAGAAAGTTACCTCAACTCCCTACACCTTTGCTTTTTCATCTAAAACACGGGAATAAAAGTCACTCTGCCTCTATTGCTAGGAGCATTAAATGAGTAAACTTAAGTGTTCAATTAAAAAAATCGCAACAGGCTTATGGAAGGGCGGTTGGAGCCAGATCTAAGTGCCTGAGATGATGAAGACACGCCAGCTGGGATGTGGCTGGGGTGGAGCCCTTGCCTGGTGTGCAGGATGGGACCCCAGGCTCCATCCCCAGCACCGAAAAGGAAAAGTGACTTTTCCTTGCCCACCTGAGCCCATGGACTCCACGCATGCCTGGAGCCCCACCGCGGGCCAGGGTTGACCTAGACCCTCAGGACATAGTGTGAGCCGTTTGTCCTCCGGCGGCCACCTCAAGAGGACTTGTGAAGAGCAGAGAGCCCTGCTCCTCATCCTACTGAATTCCAGAGGAGAATCTGGTCATTTTGGACCAAACCCCAGGTGCCAGGTCATTGGCAAGCCTGGGATCTGAGGTGGAGCGACCAGGACGGGACGAGGGGCTGCAGGAGACCCGGGACACGCCTCCAGCTGTGGGGCAGGCCGGGGGGAGGGGAGGGAGGCCGGGTTGGTGAGAGCCTCTGCCCGGGTCTGGAGGTCCCAACCGCCTTCCCGCGCAGGGTAGGAGTGATGGAGTCGGCATCCTCGCTGAGAGGTGCCCCCGGGGGCCTGCGCTAGGCCAAGGCCCATCCTGCCACTGGCGTGGGCATTTCTGGTCACTGCGTCGGCACGTTTGCTGCACTTGGTGAGAACTTCCTGCTGAGAGCTTTAGGGGGAGGTTTCTGGAGTCTGGGCTTAGTGCTGCGGGTGGCTTGTCCTGGCTGTCCTGGGACGGTTAGGATGGGATGAAAGCACCCGTCTGTGCCTGATGATGGACAGGGATGTCCTTGGTAAGCACCATTTCTGAACGACACTTGTCCTCATTCTCACTTAGCCCAAACACTGTACTTAACGGGGCAGGGTAATTCCAGAGGGAGCTTCCTGCAGTTCGCCCTCGCCCTCTCCTGAGAGGAAGTGGAATGCAGCCCTTTCCTGGGGGAACTGACTGGACACAGCCAACACGGTGCCGCAGGACTCCACAGCGAGGCAGGAAAGGGAGTAATGAGGTGATTAAAGTATAGAGAGAAGGTTTAAATTAAAATTATTCTAGTAAAAGGCACGTTGCCATGAAGCCCCCTCAAAATCCTCCCTCTTGCTTCAAACACATTCATCCCATCATACTTCCCACTTCCTGCAGCAGCTCTGGAGTCCTCTTTTCTGAGGGTCTTTATGAGCTGTGGTCAAAAATTCAGTGACTGCTGCCACTGAGCGCCATCCAGTGGAAAGGCAGCTCGTAAAGACACGACACTGTGTTCTCATCCACATTGGTCACCGGATCTGGCGCTGTGTGACTCCCGGCTCTTCCTGAAAGTCAAAATGACCATGAGAGGGAAACGTTTTGAATGGGTTCAGGACATCGAGGCAGCCGGGACAGTGCAGGACACTCAGGAGAGAGGGCGCCAGAGCTGCTGCAGGAAGTGGCCAGGACAGGACAGGAGTGTGTTCAGCATGAGGCAAGGATTTGGGGAGGGGCATTAATTGCAGTGTGTCTTTTACTGGAGTCATTTTTTAAAACTTAAACCTTCACTATATTTTTTGACCACAACACATTCAGCTTCACCCGGCTCTGTGGCAGATCTGCTCCTGGACCCCTCCAGGCCGAGAGGACCCTGGCTAACGGAGAGGTCCAGTGAAGGCACAAGATCCGGCTGTCCTGGCCAGCCCCGGACTTCCAGTCCTGAAGCCCGGCCACTGTCACTCCCTTTCCTCGGCCTCCCCTGCACGGTCCCAGCCAGATCCCTCCCTGCCCCACTGGTGCCTGCAGGCTCTTTGTGCAGCACAGCAGCAACTAATCGGACAAGACCCCAGCGCCCTCGGGGTGAGGGGTGGTCAGCTTCTCCTTTGTCATGCCACATGACTCTCCTGACAGCAGGAAACAGCCGGGCACAGGGCGCTTCTGATGCTGGAGAAAGGGAGTGCTGAGGGGAGCTGGGCAGCCTGGGCGGTGACTCCCAGGAGTCCTGCAGGGGAGGGGCAGCTCACCCCCACCCCGCGTCACCGCTGCCCTTTTACCGCTGCCCGCTGACCCTCACTGCCGCCCGCCGCCTGGGGAGCTGCAGGGGCTGAGGTCCAGTCCCAGACGAGCTCCTGCAGGGCGGGCAGACAGGTGGACGCGAGCCTGCTCCAGAGACCCTGACGGCCCTTCTCTGTGGTGACACGCCTGCTTCTGGACAGTCCCGCTCCACAGGAGGAACCAAGAGGAGCCTGAGCCTCTGGACCCTTGCTTCCTGCCCTGCAGCAGCAAGTAATTCTCCTTACTGAAGAAAGGGAACCAACCCCCTTTTGTATTCCATAGACCTCTTCCTCAGCTGCACCCCCAATTAATTTTTGTAGCAATGGGAGATAAAATTTAAAAATAAAAAACATTTTTTGGAGATGAGGCCCTGTTATGTTGGCCAAGCTGGCCCCAAACTTCTGGGCTCAAGACACCCTCCTGCCTCAGCCTCCCCCCAGCTGAGACTACAGGCAGCGCCATCATGACGTCCCTCTCCCTGGGTGCTTTCTCAGCCCCTACAGCTTCATGAATGAGTTCCTGGAGAGCCTCCACCCGGTCATCTGTCCCTGGTAAAACTAGGACAGTTGTCCCCCGGTTAGAGGCACCAGCAACAACAAGCGCTCCGCCGAGAGCCTGGCGGCTGCGTTCACCCAGTGAAGTTCTGGAGGAGGACTGAGATCCTGAGAGCCCCAGGGCAGCAGGAGGAAGGGGAAGTGCACGGTGCGAAGGGACGCGACACAGCCACCAAGGAGGGGATAGGGCCGTGGGGCAGAGGAAGGAGGCAGCTCCCAGACCAGAAGCCACAGGCTCCAGTCGGCTGCTGAGGAAACTTGGGAGATGCCAGGAGCCAGCAGGGCTGGGCCCCGGTGGGGGCACCGTGGCTGGGCCAGAGAAGGAGGGTGGCAGGGCCTGGGCACAGGTCCTGGTGGAGCACAGGAGCAGCTGCGGGCCGGTGACCTCTGCTTTCCAGAGTGGGATGGCGCAAGTGTCAGGGAAGGGGATGTCGAAGCTTCAGAGTCAGCCCCCTGACCCCGTCTCCTCCCTGGCCCCTCGCATGGACAGGGCAGCAGGACAACCGCGCCAGGCTGACTGCCATGCCTGACACACACAGGCCCTCAACAGGTGACACGTGACCTTGGCACCGCTGCCCCCTCTGCAGGGAGGCGCTCAGAAGCCCAAGCGGATGGGGAAGCTCGGGGCTGCCCTTCCCCAGGGGCGGGACCTGGGCAGGCCAGTGAGGGGCGTCATCTCCAAGGGCTGGAGGCCCCTTCTTAGCACCACCAGGAGCACTGGGCTGCAGGTGGACAGCACCACGCCCATCCTCACTGCCAGAAAGTGGGGGTGTCCTCACCCTGTCTTACAGAAGGGACCGGCCCCAGGGCCCCTCTCAGTCTGTGGTCTGAACGCCCAGGCGCACCTGTGCACAGGACACAAGTGCCCTGAGAAGAGTGAGACGCCAGGGCTGGGGATTCCCGCCCGGAGACCGGAGACGCGGCTCTCGGGCCCACCGCTCTGCTCCTGCCCGCCGGCAGGCCAGGCATCCTGCACAGCAAGACCTTCCGAAGACCCCCTTCCCCCCGCTCCAGCTAACCGTGTCCAGCTGACGGTGGACAGCAGGAGGGCCCAGGGCTCCGCTGACCCTGCTCCGACTCTGAGTTCTGGTTCCCGAATCGAAGGGCTTTCAATCCCACACACAGACGGTCTCATTTTCTAGCTCGGACACTGGAACAAACACAACACCCATGGATTCTGAGACAAGCAAACAAAACCTGCTTCTCCCTGAAATCCTTCTTTGTATTAAGAAAAAAGAAAAGGAGCATGGTCGCAGTAGCTTCTCCTGCTTTATTACCCCAGAACACCTGTGCAAATGGGGCCTGTGGAGAACAAGGCAGAAATCTGAAACAAGTACGTCTCGCTCGGAGGAAAACAGGGGAGGAGGCGCCGGAATCGCTGCTCTGGGGCCGTGGGTAGGCAGTGGGCAGGGCAGCGGGGTCACCGGGCTGACCCCTGCCTCCTCCTGACACTGCGGCGGACGCAGGAGCAGGAGCCCAGAACGGGAAGTGGCACAGGAACAAGCACCGTCTCTCGCACCGTCCTGAGGGCATCTTGAGGGGCAGGGCCTGGCAGATGGGGACCAACAACTGGGACGCGGAGAAATCAGATCCCGGGGAGCCCGGCAGTCCGCTTGGCTGGCGTCCTCACTCTCATGGGGGGAGGAGGGGGCCTGGCGGGGTGTGCAGCAGCTGCCTGTCGCCTAGGTGATGACAGTGGGCTCCGTGCGGCCCGTCCTCTCCCTCAGCCCGGACACCTTGAGAGCAATGGTGATCAGCGGGGCCAGCATGACCTGCAGGACACGGAGAGGGAGCTCAGCACCGCCACCTCTGTGGCCTCCCTCGGGCCCCAAGTCCCAGGGTCTGCTTACTCAGCGCCCAGAGGTCGCTCGAAATGCAGAGGAGAAATCTGCTGCTTCAATAAAGAATTTTAAATCTTTTGCAAATGGAGCGGGGAGGGGACTGGGATGGAAAGAGAATGGAGATGTGGTGTGCACGGGACCAACTCCCCCAGGAGCGCGATGGTTACAACCACAAACAGGCACTCGAAAGATGAAAATTCTAAAGAGTTTGAAATGGAAACACCTATGGAGCTGGTAGTTTCACTGCTTTCACTTTACAGACGAGGAGAGAGACCCAAGGGCAGGAGCAGGGCCCTTCCGCTGTTGCTTGCCCTGGCCTGGGCCCTTGGTGCCACGCTCTCCTGGGGGCTTTGGTTCTTTCTCTCTGCCCTGCGCTGAGCTTTTGTCTTGAGGGTAAAAAGAGAACTAAACACAGTTTCCCGTTTCCTCCTCTGCTACCCCAAGGGCTGGTATGCAGACCCCATGGCCTCAATGTACACTGTAGGGGAGCCCAGACTATGGTAGCCCAAGCCTGGCTGCTGGGAAGGTGGGAGAGCAAAGCATTCTCCTGCCTCCGTTTGTAAGGAAAGCCACTTTCCCACTTACAGGAAGCATCTATTGTCAGAGATGTGGAAAATGGAATGGTAGTTGGCAGGGATCCAGGAGGGGGAAATGGAGCATATTGCTCAAGGGTTATCAAGTTTCAGTTTAGTTTGTTTCTTGGCGTCTTACTATGAGGCCCCAGCTGGCCTCAGACTCCTGATCCTCCTGCCTCAGCCTCCCAAGTAGCTGGAATTACAGGTGTGGACAACCACGCCTGGTTTTAAGTTTCAGTCTTACAAAATGAAAAAGTTCTGAAGATCTCTTGAACAGTGTAAATACACACAGTTACACTTACCATGGATGAGATGGTAAAATTTTTTAATTCTAAGAGCTTCTCTTTTAGTGTTAAACCCCTGTGCCTGGCACCATGTTTAAGCTTTTTACAGGGATGGTTTCCCTCCGTCCCTGGAATTCTAGGACGTTATTATCCTGCCATCTTGGAAACAAGGAAGCCAAGACTCATAAAAATAAGATGACTTAGCCAGAGACACACGGTTATTAAGTGGCAGGAACAGGATTTAAAGTAAGAGCTCTCTAATCACAAACCTAGGCTCAGATCCACCATGTCAAATAAAATTCCAAATGAATTTTATAGGATTTTAAATAGGTATTGGAAGGCCGGGGATTTAGCTCAGTGGTTTTGCTGCCTGCTGCACAAGTGCAAGGACCCGAGTTTGATCCCCGGTACCAAAAAAAAAAAAAAAAAAAATGTGTTGGAAGAAAAAATGACTTTGTGTAAAAATAGCATGGCTGTCGACTTTAATTTTTAATAAAAACTTTATATTTAAGGTATAAAACCTGGTGCTCTGAAATACAGGCACACAGCAAACCGATCCACAACAGTCAAGCTAAGGAGCACGTCAGCCTCCCCCTCAGAGTCGGCTGTGTTTGACGCTGGCCATTGATGCTCTTCTCTCAGGAGCCGAGCGTGTGGCACGGTTAGTGATGGGCACTGCGTGGTCCCTTGGATCTCAAGGACTCCTGCAGCCCAGCCGGCCCCAGCTCGTGGCTCCCTCTGCTCCATGTCTATGGCTTCCACATATAAAGGACACCATGCAGAAGGCATCTTGCTATGCCTGGCTGTTTCACTGAGCAGAAGGTTCGCCCTCTTGTCACAACAGTGGGCCTTCCTTCCTTGTTAGGATGGCATCACTTCTCATGATCTGGCTGTGATTATATATGTCTGACCCACCCTCCGTGATGGGCACTCAGGTTGGCTCCCCATCTTTCCTACTGAGAACAGTGCCACCAGGGGCGTGGAGGCACAGGTGTCTAGGGGCTGGGCTCAGTCCCTCTGGTAAACATCAGGCCAGGGCTCGCTGGATCCCGTGGCAGTTCTGTTTCTCACTGACGAGGAAACTGCTGCTGCCCCACCTAGAAGCAGTGTGTGCTCTGCCAGTGCGGAGCCACCATGGGCAGCAGCACAGGATTGTGACAGGAGGGACAGCAGATGGGGGGGATTCGAAGACCAGGTGCCCTGAATCTACCGTTCACTAGCATGCAACTCCAAGGACTCTCTGTGCCTCAGTTTCCCGGTCTGGAGCAGGGAGAATATGTGATTGAACACCTCCCTCATGTGAGAATCATGGGTGCACATTACAGTAGCACGGGGCTGGTCACACAGTGCTCAGACCACGTGGATGCTGACGGTGGTGGCAGAGGCGGTGACAACTGTTAGAACCTACGTCTGCCAGTGTGACATGCTGCAAGGGACAGAGGGCAGCAGAGGGGCCTGGTGGACCCTGAGAAAGACCCCTCGCTCCTGCCCTCCGTTGCAGCGTCACCTGAGGGTCCTGGTAGATCTTTGAGATGTCCTTCTCGTAGCTGTCGATGTACAGGCGGATGGTGGCCCCCGCACTCCCAGTGCCGCTCAGCCGGAAGATGATGCGGGAGCCGTCTGCAAAGAGAAGCCTCAAGCCCTGTGGAAGACAGCAGAGGGTTTTCCTGCTGCGTGCTGGAAGGGAGGGATGCTTGGCAGCTATAAGAGGCCCAAGGGGGACCTCGCTTCCTCTGTACTTGTCAATGGGAGGACTTGACCCTGGAATACAGCAACTGGGCCTCATGAGTCTGCTGCGGCGATTGGCCCAGCTGACTCCAGGACGAGGGGGGAGACCGGCCTAGGGAAGCCGGGGGACACAGCACCTCCATCCCTGCTCCCCAGGACCCATGGGCCACCATCCCTGTGTGAAGCTAGCTCAGTAAGCAAGTAAAGCTGCCAGATGCAGATGTGACGGCCAGCTCAGGAGGGGACACAGGCAGGGCGAGGAGACAGAGCAGCAGAGGTCCAGGCGGTGTGGGGAAGGGCGAAGCAAGACTCCTCACCTGCAGGAGGCCCTGAACCCAGATGCAGGGCCCATGGCGCCACCGGCCGATGCCCAGCATATCAACGCGGCCCATGCAGGCTGGGCTGCCTCCCTCATTGCCCCTTCTGATTCCCAGAGTCGAGCCCACTCTGTGACAGGCCAAGGTGACCTGGGGCTGAGTGCTGGTGACCACCCTGCTGCCCTTGGTACCCAGCACACAGCGAAGGACCCCTGGTCGTCCCAGCCCCTGGGCTGGTCCAGGTTCTCAGGATGGAATCCTGAGTGCAGCATGCCACTGAGTCCACTGGGTTGCAGATATGAGCAGTCAACATTTCTAAGTCCAGAATGGCCTTTTATTTTTAAACAGAGTCTTAATATGTAGTTTGGGCTGGGCCTAAACTGTGGTACAGGCTGGCCTCCAACTTGTATCGATCCTCCTGCCTCGGCCTTAGGGGTGCTGTGATTACAGGTGTGCACCTCCACACTGGGCTAAGGATTGCCTTATTTAAACTCTTATTCAGAATCTAAGCACGTGAAAGAAACGTGTGTGACAGCACCACTCACATGGAGCCTTCTCGGCAGCCTGGAGGGGAAGAGGGAAGCTATATCTAAGTCCACACACAGCTCTCCTGTTTGGATTCCCGGCTCCCTTGGGGTGTGAGTGTGCTCTGGGGTGTAGGCAAGGACCCAGAAAGAGGGCAGGGGACCGCACCATGCCAGGGCACATACCACTCCCCACAGGTGCGGGTGAGAAGCCCCCAAGAGGCGGCAGAGACAGCTTCCAGGAAAGGGGCACGGGGGGACACGCCCCAGGCTCTGGCGGTGGTGCCTGGGGCCTCTCCCACGCACATCTGTTCCTACCTGATTCTTGGAAACGCTTCCGTCCACCGGGTCGCTGTACTCAAAGTTGTCCGCTCTCTCCACCGTGTAGACTTTGTCGTTGGCCGAGAACTGCTTCCCCACAAAGGAGCGGTCCAGCATCAGGGCCTCCAGGTCCTGCATCATCTTGCTCGCCGCCTCTGCATCCACCTCCTCGTAGTCGTACCTGGAAGTCGTAGAGGTGGCCCCGTCTTGACACCAGCTTGGCCTTTCCCCGGGGTCACTGGGGCAGAGGCAGTGGGGGGCCTGGGGAAGGGGCGAAGTCCTCCGAATGAGCCGAACTGCGGCTTCTCCACAGAACAAAACCCTCAGAGGCTCAGCAGCGCTCGAGGACACTGTCTAGGGTGGGGTCACCACAGCCCGAGGAGTGGAGCGGTGACCATCAGAACTCCGTCCCCACCAGGCCCAGCCCAAGATGCCATCTTCCCTTCAGTGGTGGTGGACTCTGGTCCCAAGGCCCTGGGGTCACCCTGGCCACAGAGCGTGGTGGACCATGGAGAAAACCAACAGTGAAATCCAGGGCCATGATTGTACCTTCGAGACTTGTTCTCGTCTGCTTTCTTAGCAGGTTAAGGGGTTAGTTATAGTGTTTTATTAACTATGGGATGCATTTTAAAAAATTATCTAAATCCCATCACTCTGGGAAACTGAGACAGGAGGATCACAAGTTCGAGCACAGCCTGGGCAACTTAGTGAAACCCAGACTCAAAATAAAAAATAAAATAAAACAAAACAAAAATGGCTGGGGATGGAGCTCAGAGCGAAGGCCCTGGGTTCAATTCCCAATACCACAACAACAATTAAAAAACTAGTCCAGCCGGGGATGTAGCTCAGTGGCGCCATGCCTGCCTGGCAAGCGCAAGGTCCTAAGTTCGATGCCCAGTACCAAAAACAAAACAAAACTAGTCTAACTCATCCATTTCAAAGGAAAATCAACTGAAATCCAGAAAAATTATATCCACGCACTTCTTACAGATGCATACTAATATCCTTTTTCTTATCTCCTTTTCATAACTGGAATACTGAGGTCCAAGAAAATATTTGCACTGATTGGGAGAATAGCAAATTGGAATTAGTAGAAACACTGCTAGTAAAAAAAAAAAATCTATGGTGCCAGGGATGGAACCCAGGGCCTTGGGCAAGCTAAGCACATTCTCTACCACTGGGGTACACCCCAGGGCCCCAGGACCCTAAAATTCAGAGCTTCTTAAACATGGAGGAACACACGGTAGAGAAGGTTACTAAGTGTTCAAACACCGTGTTCACTGTGGAGTCCTCAGTACCTGGGGGGAAGTAGGTAAATATTTGAGGAATCAATGAATGGAGTATTGATAAGTACCTGGCCTTTGGGTGCCTGTTTTACGTAGTTAGTGCTCCAGCACTCACAAAACACTCTCAGATCCCTATTTCATTTAAACCTCTCAATACTGGACCATTATTTTCATTTCTACAGTTGAGAAAAACAGCATGAAGAGAGGTTTGATGATTTGCCAATTTACTAATTTGCCAATTTAGTAAGGGGCAGAAATAAAATTCAAAGCCATTTTTTCTGAATTCAGATCCAATACTTTATCACTTCCACCCAGTGGGTGCAGTTAAACATGTTTAAAAGCATTTCTTCCCTTGGTTACGTTGGGTAAATCTTTAGTCTCGATGGCTGACATCAAAGCCGGCTTCAACTCTGCCCTCACTGAATTATTTCTGAAGTCCGCAGTCGGCACAAGCTGGGTGAGCGGAGTCGCAGGAAAAAGGCTGTGGGGACCCTCTCTGCCCACCCCGGCAGGCCCAGCACCTACCTGGTGAAGAAGTTGCGGCCGTGCTTCTGCCAGTGACCCTTGAGAATGTCCTCCACGCTCTGCTTGCGGGCGGCCAGGATGGACAGCCAGGCGAGGACGGCCCACAGCCCGTCTTTCTCCCGGATGTGGTCGGAACCTGCGGGCACAGCGAGCACCCTGAGAAGCACGGCTTCTCCCTGGTGGACTGAGTCCCACAGGCAGCCTCTGCGGAGCAGTGCTGGTCAGAAAGCCGTGCTTCCCAGAGAGTCGGAGATGCAAATGCCAATAAAAATGTCAGTAGGACAACGGGCCACACCTCGAGATACCAATTATGAAGTACTGGTGTGTGAAAAACTAACAAACCTTAAACAGACAGCAGAAAAACACAGCCATTTTAAATTTTCAGTAACTAAAATAGCCTGGCAGCTTCAGGGAACAAACCCAAGCACAGAAGAGACCTGAGGTAGGGGGAGGGCTCACTCAAGGACGCAGGGAAAGGGTGGACTAATGTTTAGATAGTGTTTGGATAACCAGCTTAACCGTCTGGAAAAATGTCAGTTTTCCTCCCTACCAAAAAACCACACCAAAGAGAAATTCAAAGGAATCAAACATTTAAATATGAAGAGAGCAAACCTTTAAATACTATATGACATAAAAATATTTCTTGTATCTGGGGAGTGATAAATATATGCAAATTCACTGTCCATAAAATGAAAGAACTGATGTATTAATGTAAAATCTCCATATCTGTACAGCAATATTACTTCAGATAAAATTAAAAGACCACTGACATACTTTTAGCTCCAGCACATTCACAATTCTAAGGCAGATGTTTAATATACTCAATTAAGGAAAATTTCACATGTTTTAATAAGAGAAAAGCAAAACCTCAATAGGAAAACTGGTCAAGGGTGTAACAAAGCAATTCACCAAAAATTAAGTACAGGCAGTGAATTAACATAATAGAAAGCTGCAATTATTTTTAAGAAGACAAATTAAAGTTAAAACCACAGTGAGACGCTGCTGCTTGCTTGACAAATAGCCACAGATTTTAAAATTGTAAAACCTAGTACCAGAGATTTCTTAGGGAGAAGGGCCTCCAACTCGATGTGGCTGGGAGTGTGTACCAACAGGAGTGTGTACGGGCAGGAGTGTGTATGGGCAGGAGTGTGTACGGCCAGGAGTGTGTAC